TCGAGTATCGTTTACCGTTATCCAAAAATGAGTACGATCTTTAAATAGGGCTTAATTATAGTTCCGACCGCGTTTTTTATTTTATATCAACCGATTAACTGGTTCGTTCTTCTTTACTGTGCATCGTGCTCATGCGACTGGTAGATGCGGGTTCTTGAGGGATGTGCTTCATCAGTTTTTTCTTTGTTTATCAATCAATGATGTCCGGGGGTTGAGTGATTTGAAACCACGGCTGTCCTACAACGCCATTATTTTCTGCATTTCATCCACGGTTTCATGTGATTAGTGATGTCCAGCGACTGCCATTGAGTTTAAACCGCTAATTATATGTTCATGGAAATTACATAAACATCTTCTTACTGATATGATACTACATTATGGAAGTCACATGAGCGGTGCTGTGTTGTACAATTACAGTGTGAAGTAAACATTGAACGGTGGATTATAAAAACATGCAACTCCCAAAAAAGCTGTCTTCATTCGATCAAAGCCCTTCGCGTTTGCCGAGGTATCAATTGTTGTTTTCTGGTTGGGGTATCACACAATCTTCACATATGCCGGAACTAATTTTCTTATTAATTAATCTTCGGTGTAACTCACAGTACTGACATTTTTAAGCTAAGGGGTTTTAATGGAAGAGGATGAGATAACAAAGTGACATAGAACCCGTTTGTTTTACCGAAAATTCATTATGAAACAAGTTTACATAATATGTGAAATTTATTCACGTCGCTCTGGATGAGACCTTCAGTTGTTTCTTGCTTTAAACCCGAGCAATGAGGTTGGTAATACCGCAACCGATAAGCACTTTAGCATGTTGCGAGGCGGTAATTCAGGTGATCACGTAACCGGCCCGGGTGTCGTTATTTTCAATCCAAACACGAATACCACCAACACTCCAAATATTCCTCATTAACTGGTCTTCCAAGTTAATATTTCATTCTTTGCAAACCCTTTACTGAAATCCGATTGAGGAACTGCTTTTTTTCAGTAAATAAATGAAGTAAAACACTAATTATTTCTTCGGGAGGGCCAAATTCCTCGACTTACTTATCACGCCACCGAGTGTGGTAGGAGTTAGCCATATCGGATGCATCTGTGATATGGAATGACACCGGTGCACCAATGCCACCAGTAATGAAGTGATTTTGCTCTTCAATGCTCATCATGTAAACTATAATCAGGACAAAATCTATCGAATTTTGTCACTTTTCTGATTAGGCAACAAACATAATTGTCAGAAAACCTTTAAATTGTTTACTACACCTCATTTTAAATGAACAGGTGACTCTCAATAGACTGTATGCAATTGAATCGGATTCTTTATCTCGTGCACGAAACCGACTACCGTTTGTTTGAAACAGTGTTTGGTCACGCTCTCTGCAGTTATCGACGATCTTCCGGTTTCGGTTCCCGTGTTACATGACTCAGACCCAAAATATCGAGTGCATTAAGTGCAATGTTTGGAGAATCGTTAATTTCTATGCTGCAACACAGTGCTTGCAAGACTTGAGTCTTTCTTTTAGATAAACCTAATTGAAATCTGTAGGTGAAGTCGAAATATGACGGTGAACGACAGACATATAACGCGAAGACGAAGGGAGAAAACTAGTAACCATCAGTTTCCTTTAAATGGAATATTAGAAGTTGCGACGTTTGTAGAAGTTCATTTTCAGCCCTAATAAATGTCCCGTATTTTCTGGCTAGCCGATCGAACATCAAAACCGATAACGGCCATTGATCTGTATGTGTAAGATGGCTGAGAGTGTGTAATCATGTCTCGTTGTAATGACTGGGTCTGTACAATCGGAAAAGGTTGTTTCTATTTTCGTATTATCATTACGAATGGTTCTCCTATAACGTGAAACAACGCAGTTTTGAATTGTAGGTGTTGGTGATGGTGAGGTACTTTACTTCACCCTTACAATGAAAGTTTGCTTTGAACATCGTTTGACCATCATCAACATTGGAAGCATTCACTGTTCGAGAGGCATGAGCCAATATGATGTAGATTCGGAAATTTCATGTTCGAACAACTTAGGGAAATATAGAAATAAAATCATATCTGGCATCATCTCCACGGCGTTTCACTGCGGATTAAACTGACCATTCGTAGATCATAATAAATTTCACTCCAACATTTATGATTGGAAGGTAAATTTTACAACTTTGGTTTTCCTATGTCATTCGTACTTAACTTTTGAACTTATATCGGCGACAGTTTGAAAGGTACTATCGAGTATGAACTTCTGTTTTCTCCGATTCACTGTGTTGAAATAGGACACGTAAGTTCGTGTTCATGTGATCACAGAATGTAGATGTGGGGCGTTTATTAAAAATAAGCGGCGTGGGGCATTAATTTGTTTCAATAACTCTCACTATGAAGTTAGTTTAGTTCAGTTGAGTTGAGAGTAGTATATGGCATGCTTCCCAATGCTTGGATCGATGATGTTCAATGTTCAATGTTCAATGTTCTTCAATTAGAGGCAGAGGATAATTTCCCGTATGAGCCTCATCACCACAGACTCGAAGATCTCATTCATGATAGATCTGCATACCCGCATTGTTCGCAGGAGGCTGTCGAGCTTCCTCTTGAACATCTTATCATTGACCTCTTCCACCACGTCAGCTGGAAGGGAGTTCCTCAAAGCTTGGTTACCCTTCGCGATAGCCGGAACCGAAGAGGTAATCCTACGGACGAAAGCTTGATGGAAGCATTTACAGGGAAGACCCAATGTCACATAATATGCTCCAATATTAAGATTACACTGCTGTCAGACAGACGTCCCTATGTGTTCCCATGATTGACTGTAGCTTACGGATAATTCTGGGAACCAATTGAATGCTGGATTACACGGTCTCTGCAGTCCGACGATCAATCACATCACTCTCAAATTTTTTTCCGCTTGAGACACTTGCGGATTATCAGTTAGCTTCCTATTTTGTCCACAACCGGATGTGTTTCGAGGATTTTAGAACTGCATCCCGGAGCACATTAATTGGACACACAGGAAACTGGTTTTGTTTATGATTTATGCGTGATGCCACACAACCGGAAGAGAGACTTTTTAACGTCACGAGAAACAATCACGCTGTGAATCCAACGTAACTATCACCATTCTAGGCCTTTCCGTCTGCGGTTTAATATTGTCTTGGCTAATTGTACAAGACTTTTTAAGATGTATACACCAGCTGACGGTCTGACGCAATATAGGCATTGCTATATTCATGTGAACGATAAGCCTTTACCGATTTTCAATATCTACATTGTCGTTAAAGCCTAGGTATTTGTTTCCATCTGTAGAATGGAATTATGCCATTACGGAAGTTCAAGACAAATGAAGTCATGAGTATTGTATGATAACAACTTCAGCGAGATGGCGCGTTTGCTTGGCAGCTGCATGCGAGGTTGCTTAACTAATTGTTAATTAGATAGGAATGTGGAACTTCAGAATAGGTCCTTTTAGCTCGTTGCTGTTCTTTATTGGAGTCATTGGCACGTTGGGCTGGAAATCTGTGAATGCAGTGGCAAACATTCCGTGTATTATTTTATCTATGAACGGACTGCTGATAATGAAAAGACCTAATTGTCATCTCCCACACACAAAAACCGGTGCCCTCTTCCGAAATGCTTAGTTCATTTTTCCTCAACCTTTTCCTTAAGTCACTGGAATATTCCAATACTGAGTGGGGCGACCATCACTCTACTCGAGTGTGACATCGACATAAGAAATATTTCTAAACTTTCAAACATTGAACGAGGTGTTTATTGCAAACATAGCTGATTTTCTGCAGGTTTTTCACATTTTGGGATCATTCTCCGGGGACTAATTTTAACTACCAACAGTTTGATTAAGTAACGAAAATTGCGTTGTGTAGCACGTGAAATTGGAACATCATTTATTTCTTCAGACTCCTTGAGCTGTAAAGATTGAACTTATTATTTATCACGGGAGGGTCCTGAAAACCTATGGTTTCTGTGTACAAAAACACAGTTTCACCATATCGGTAGTTCCACAACAAACAAAAAAATTAGCAAAAGATGATTTTGTACGTGTGACAAAAATTATGCTAGTGACTATTTAACTTGCGAGCGTTGAACACGGTGTGTAATTGAACATGTCTGAAAACTGCGTGATTATTAAATTAGTAGGCATGAAACCTGTTGTTACCGGGTGCCGAAATGCTTACATTCTGTAGAAATGCTATATTTGTTTAATAATTTGCGTGCTTAAAAGCTAGATTTTGCATATCGTGTACAAGTACCTTGCTTTCTAGTCACAGACGGTAATTATTGCAGAGGAAAACAATGCACGTTTACTCCTCCCAATTTGTCCGATCGATCTGCTTGCATATGAAACAACCTTCACGGAAGCCACCCACTGAACTAAAGCGGGCAATGCTGCCTCGAGATTCATTCAAACGTGTGACTCAGCAACTAATGTGCGTTTAGCGAAATTGCTGCCGATGGAGAAGAGCAAGTGGCAGTCAGGTAATCTGTGATTGGCTAAATCTAGTCATTGTATCCTGATTGGTTCATTTTGCGAGGCATCTTATTGGATCTTAAGGACACTTCGGACACCGTTATTTTGCAACGGACTTGTGTCCAAACGTTTGGACACGTGGTAAGCTAGTTGTGTCAGCACCCGCATGGATACGGAATTGATTCAACTCTACGGGTAGATATTAATTTTTATCCACGTGTGTACCTCCATGTGTATACGTGCTAGTGATTTTTATGCCTGCATTCATATTCAGTGACACTTACGTGGAATTTCCCGGTGTGGTCACGGAATGACACTTGCCTTGTGCATTTGTTCACTCACACACATATTACTCGATGATTAACTATGCATCTCAGGCACGTGATTCTCCCATTACTACTTGGATTATATGATTTGATTCCTCTGCTTCTCGTCAGCCAAACAGTCGATGTACAACGGACATGTAACTGTTCACTAGAAATCGAATCTTCATCCAGCTCAAAACTATTGTGCCAAATGGATCGATCCGGCAGTTTGAATCATTTGGAAGATCCGATTCCCTGTCAGCAAGTTAACGATTTGGTTCGAATCGGACCGATTGTTGAGGGGTCACTGATAGATACCAATGATCAGATAACTTCCACACCCAAAGTAGATACGATTCAATTAGCCCCGTGGGCGTTTGCTGCTCTTATGTGGGATCAAACGGTGAAACGACTTCAGTTGGACTTGCAACTTCGCGACCACGTAGTCACTGCTCTCAGTTTGGGTGGGTTGGAAAATCTGGAAGAGCTGTTAGCCAGGACGAGTTATCTACGATGGGATAGCTGTAGTCTTGCTGGGTTGACTCGAGTACGACAAGTGTTACTCAGTTGTCGTTCCGAATACGAAGAATTTCTAACTCTCGGTCCGAGTGTAGAAGTTATTCGCTTTGTGGACTGTGAGGAAGCAACAATGCAGTTTTACTGCATAAATTGTATTCAAGATCCCAGTATTCATGTGATTAGAGTTCGACCTGGACCGCCCCTTCGGCAGTATATGATTAAATTTTCTCAGCTAAACCGTACAACCGATCCCAGTTCTGGAACTCATGAACAACGCGGGCGTCTATCGATTGGGCGCTGTGTGCCTAACATCTGTTCTGATAGCATGCTCTGTCGGGACAATCAGGAATTACAGGTAGTTCAAGAAAATGCCGGTCGACCTACTCCGACGAGTACCGTTACCACTTCAACGACCACTGAGAGTACTACTACTGCCAGTATAAACGTGACTACAAGTGATACGATAACGGATGGTTTATCTTCATTGTTGCCTCAATCGCAATCAGATGCAACGACCGAACCGAATGTTTCCACTAACCTTTCCGATGAATCCCAAGCACCAAATCAGACAAGTCCAGCTTCCGTTATCCGACATCCATACTTTCCACCTGCAGGTGGAACCGAAAATACCAATAAGTTGGATAATGAAAACATGTTAACTCGGAGTCAACGGATATGGGTTGCTGCATCCATAGTGTCTGTGATTGCTGTGTTTCTCATTACTGCTTGTGTTCTGATCGGAATCATGAGGCAGCGTAGTCGACGACAGAGTGTCAAATACAATCGACCGCGTCCACGTCAGACCAAATACTCTAACGGTCTGATTCGCGACCGGCCCGATCAGATTGATGAGGATGAAAACGGCAAGCTGGAATTGCCAGAACGTGTGTGTTAAAAAATGTTCCGACAATGTTTGGCAAAACGGTTTACACTTCCAACCAGACACACTACCTGTGAGAACAAGGCACGCCAGATCAAGCTGTCATTTCTGTCGAACCGTCCTCATAAATGCCACGTGAGTCTAAATACGGTTTGACCCCGGTATTGTTGCGCAGCCTTAAGGTCATCAAATTTTATGCCTCGTTTACACCATCTAAATTCATTTGTGACCTACTCAAGTCTTTCTTTTCAATCTTCACCCAGCTAAACGGTAATTATCCCCCCTTAAGATTTAGTTTCCCTCAACCCGCTTCAAATGAGTATCATACGCAAGCGGTGTTTTATATAGCGTTCTTTCATTCGTGCTTCCATATCTGTTGCCACAAGGCTGTCTATCTCTTTTGTCCGCTCTCAGTCGCTTTTTGCACTGTCTTTGATTTTTTGTTTCTGAATTCTGTGAACTCAAATTGTCATTAGCCCTTTTTATTCTGAATCGAATGAGACTGTCATCGACCCCACCCCGTGGACTTGAGTGACGCCATAGTCAGTCAGCCGAAACAGTCATTTTCCTTTCTCTTCCTCTCTTGCTCCCATCCGTGCAATTATAAACCTTTCCGTTACTGTCGTCCACGAAAACCCGTCTTGCTTCGAGACACATAGACTATGTCTGAACCTTGTATACTATTAACCACCTTGCTCTCGCTGTTTCCAACTCCGAACCGCGCCATTCTTTTTATCTCAACCACTAGATTGTTTGGGTAGAACATTCAGTCACTTATTGTGATGTCTATATATCTGACGTTTGGGTGAATAACTCCATTCATGTTGGTACCGTTGAATCGCGAAACACGTTATGTGCAAGCTGTTACACATGTGAATTCCTGTTTTATTCTGGTTCATCACAATGCATTTACCTCCAATACACAATGCTGTGTATATGTATGCATACATGTTGTGTGTGTGTTTGTAAACTTGTGTGCAGTTGTGGAGAGATAGACCTATGCACTAGAAGTCTAATATCAAGAAAGCTTGATGGGATGGTGCGAAATAAACTAAAATGATTCACAGAATTTACGCGCACCTACACACAGACGTTGATGAGTTCCACCTCATTCTTTCAATTTGGAAATACAACGATATACAGTTCGGACTTGTTCTTATATGCTGTTTTCTTTCACTTCCAGTCTTCTGTTCCACCTTGTCTGTAAACCCCAATGACCCTCCAAGTTCATGAACCGAACCCTCAACTTTGTTGTTTTGGTTCACTCAGACCTCCAACTTTGACCTGTTTATTATTCTTTTCGCAGTGAAATACCATAGATCGTTTCCCCAGATCGTGTGGATGCAATGCGTGTACATATTGCTCGCTCACCCCATGCATATACTTCTATATGATGATATCTATTCCCTTGCATACACATAAACACACCTATATATGCATTTTATTATATCTGACACATTTGAGCAATATACGACATGACAGAGTGAATCTCTCCTAAGCTAACATTTGCAAAGCAGTGTCGCAGTGAAGCAATCGACATACTCGATTTTGATGCAGCAAATTGTCACGTGGTGTTTTATAATGCGTTGCTTGTGAACAGTAGTGTGTACCTTAGTGAAAGAATCAGAAACTACCACTATAAATCGTTTAGTGCAGAACATTGTCCGTAGTGAAGCGGAATTCAGTTCGTTAGGTGCGCCGTATTTCATATCACGGTTCAGCGAGGTCATGATTAGAAACCTAGTTGTGAGTTAGTTTCACGTGACATTACCCCCTTAAAAGCCCATGTGGATAACACAATGTGATGTTTATTGTCTGAGGGGCAAAATAAAACGAAGAAAAAGAACAAATAAACTATGTCACTGAAATATGCAGAAAATGATGTATCGACAAAAACGGAAAGTGATATCATCTATGTGGAATAAAATCGCAGGGCTTTCAGAGCTGGTGCGTGGGCTTGAATGATGTAAACCGGTCGATTGCTCGAAAATGTTCCATTTTGCTTCTCTTGAGAAGGGTAAACAAATTGGTGGTCTTTTTTTCCAGAGATGAGAAGAGACGGTTACTTCACATAGTGATGACGCATCAACTCGATATCCAATTTGGGAAAAATAGTTGCGTTGTGAAGCCGGAACCTTATCTGCTGTACTTATCGACACTTTACTCGCGCTGATAGTGATCTCAAAAGAGAAGACGAGTTTCAGTATATCACACCAGTTATTTCCGGCAATTAAAACATCAAGCAACGGAAACGTATATTTATATTCCCGAATGGACAACAAGCATTGTGCCAACAAAAAAGCAATGATGATAATGTTAGTAAGAGGTACAGAAGGATGAAATAGAAACGGGGAAAACAGATAACAAGGTGAACAAATGATGAAAGATTTTTTAGTTTCATCGTACACTTCCTGATGATTGTTGGCTGTTATGGGGAGTGGGATCTCGACAAACCAATCGCACAGCAATTACCCCACTGACATATGTTCTGAGCCATCTCTCAACTTCTCTGACCACCGGCAATCCTCATCCCTTGGGCCTAGGTCGGCACCAAGGGAAGCCAGTGCTGAAGTTGACTTCTCCATAACTTCACGATAGGTTATGGTCATGGTCTGACCGCGCGGTGCATCCTACAGTATTGCCCAACACTTGCAAAGAGAGCACGGAGATGAAGAAAGGTGGAAAGGTAAAAAGCAAAATTGACCAATCCATCGACGGCGGTGTAGAACGATTACTCAGATCAGGGAAGTATGATCAGCAACCAGCACACGACGACGAATTTCTTCATTGCTCGCACAATGTTCCCACTGAACACGAGCAATGCTTCGAAGAAATCAATGGTCAAATAAAGAAAGTTGATTAGTATCCTCTATGCCGAGCTGGTAGGTCTCGCAACCGTTAAGCAGAACACTGCGAACCGCGTAGGTGAAAGCCGTTTCTTTAAGGGACAGTCGGATATCATAGTGGCATCACAGGTGTCACAGGTTGGAAAAAGCGGCTCTAGTTTTCGCCATTCATGGTGTGATCTCTTTCCCAAAACCACCTCTAGGTATGATTGAGTTCCCTAGGTGCCTAAAGCTCTCAACTAGTTCTATGTGATCACCGGAAACAGTGCGTGCAGGCAAAGGCTCCAGTAATTTTTTTACAAGCACTTCGCACTTGAATGGTGCAAAGTACATACTATATCTGGATGCTTAGATCGCCGTGTTGGGCTGCCTGGGTATTGTCACCAAGCAAGGCAATATCACTGGCTTATTCTAAGTCAACCATTCTGTTCCCTTAAAGGAATTCGCCTCCTTCATTTGCTAGACCAGGCCAGAACATTCTCTGTGGAAAGTTGAAGAGGAAAGGTGATATGGGACAACCTTGTCGCATTCTACTAGAGACGGCGAAGCGTGGCGAAAACCGACCATAGACCACAACTCGACCTGAGATATGGTGAAACAAGTCCTTGAGGACCGACACATACTTCTCAGGTACTTAATTTATAAACAAACAGCTCCATAGTGCGATCCTGTCGATGGAGTCAAAAGCCGAGCGAATGTGTTGGAGCACAATGATCGTTGGTCTCTGGTAAATATACCGGTGTTCTAGCAGCTATCGGAGAGTGTCGATTTGATCGATGCATCTACTACCGGACAATTCCCAGCCTGGTCCTCGCGAACGTGCTCCTCTAGCGTCTTGTACAATCTAGGAAGAATATTGGACACTAAAATCTTTCAGGCTTTTACTCCTATGATTGGCGGAGTCACCGCATCAGTAAAACAATCGATTTTTCCCGAGAGAAGGGAGTCTGCTTAATAGTCCAAACATTAGAGAACAGTGTTCAGTTCTTCAAGTAGCTCTGTTCCACCATATTTAAAGAGAGCTATGCGGGGATTATCGGCTTTCCCGTATTGTGACGTCCATAAGCATGGAGTACTTTGAGGACTTCCGCCTCCGAAGGTGTGTCTATTGAGATAGACAATGGGATGTGTGCCGAAACAGTCAAGTGAGAAACTGATCAGTTAAGCTGCTCTCTGAAGTGCTCCGCTCATGGTTCAACACGTCACTGTTGATTGGGAAGAAGCTAGCCTACAGCTTCATAGACCGTTTCCCTCACATCTAAGTCTATCCTACTTGTAACTTAGATAAGATAGAACAGCTTGCGGACATTTCTTATGACGACAGCACGTTTAATCTCTGCTGCGCGTTGAGACTATCAAATTTCACATTTTCTGTGTAGACTTACGCTAATTCCACGTCTCATTGAAAGTTGTGCTACGTTATGCTACCAGCCAGTCGGAAGTGACCGGTGAACGTCAGAAAGACCCAGGGACCCAGTGCAATTCTAGGGTTTCACGACACAAATGTGAGGCCACTAATTAATAAGCCAGCCGAATTCATAGAATTCTTGATAGGCGATCAGTGCCGACTGATGTTATCAGGTGGGGTTGACTCTAGCCTTTCAGTTAGCGCGTTCTGAAAGACGGTAAAGTATGCTCGTTGAGACAACGCGTAGCAGTCTAACTGCTGCTGCATCCTGCACTTATATCGCCCACAAAAGCAAACGAACTGCTAGTCACAAACTAATTGGTGGTCAGATTCAAGGAGAGTGCTCCAGTACGATCGACTGTCTTGAATGCAACCCCGCCAACGGGGCTTATAGCGAAGTGGTTGATCTACTTTCGTCACTGACTCGACGAAGGTCGCTCACCGGCAGTTGGAGTGTCTGAAGTTCGTACGGGCTAGGAATAGGCGGTGGTCAGAACGTAGAGCCAATAACCGCTCCCGTTTTCCGAGCAGCAGTAATCTAGTTCAAAAGGACCTCCAAGGTGCGCCTCACTCGAAGTCACCCGGCCTACCATAGCATAAATATCTTCCACTGAAACCACGATATCGCTCCGAATAGCATTAAAAAAGAGGCTTGGTGGCATTTGGTAGACAGTATCTTTGACTGTGTCTGGGATACAGTTATTGGGTGCGTACGTTGAGAAGATAAGCAGTTTGCATCTTTCGGAGCGACGACTGCTGAT